GTACATGTAGTGCTTCTAAATCTTAAAAAAAAAAAAAAAAGAAAAGAAAAGAAAAATATAGTGAAAGGACATTTTCAGAGAAAAAAATTGTTAGGACCTACCTTTAAGAATGCCCGAGATTCCTTAAGATAAGTGAATGAAAGGCCATAAAATCCTGAGACACTACCTTAGAGGACTGACTAATCTCTGGAATGCCTTTTGCCCCAGTGAAAAACACCAGCTAGCCCCCAGCTGTTAGCTATTCTCAGACAGGCTTAAGACCCAGACCCGAGCACATGCTCAGGCTAAGGATCAGTCCCAGATTCTGTGACTCTGGGCAGGGGCGGGCCTCCAGGGCCTCCAGCAGCCCTGTGCCCTACAGAGGCTCCTGCTTCCCAGGAGTGCAAAATTTGGGACAGGCTTCCACTGCACAGCATGTGCCCCCACAAAAGCACACAGCAGGCCTACCACACAAAGGCCAGACATGGCCCCTGAAAGGCTCCTGTGGTGATCACAGAAGAACTGGGGACGTCCCCACTAACCCCACTCAATTATTCCAGCAGTTAAGAGCCAAAAATACCTCTGCAAAGGAGGGAAAAATAAAAGGAACACAGAAGAGAGGGTCCCAACCTCTCAGTGTGGAGGAACCCACTTTATTTTCCTCAAGTTTTTAGATGGGGAAGGGGACAAGAGGGGCTGGGGCTGGTGAGGCCTGCAGGTACAGGCAGGAAACAGAAAGCTGGAGCCTCATGATCTACAAGTGCCAAGGCTCCCAAGGCCAGCCAGGCTAGGTCCCTGCTGTGACTACCCAGTGTTTGTACGCATTGTTCTTACGGCCAACATTGGACATGCAGGAGGAGTTGCAGCTAGAAACTGGAGCAGGACGAGTCATCTTGAAGGAAGGACCCACAGTTACCAGAAAACAAAGAGTCCAGGAGTCTCCTTCTCCACAGGCCCCTATCCCAGACCTGCAGTGGACACCTGAGACCTGGGATGGCACCCAGCCCCATGGGAACCTTGCTGTGCCCCCTCCACAAGTGTGGGAAATGTTCCTCTTTTCACCTAAAGGAAGCACCCAACAGCCTGTCTTGGGCCTGCCCCAGTCGCAGATGACTCTGGCACTGGGACCTGCCTGGAGCCCAGCGCGCCCCACTGTGGTGCCCTGGCTGAGTGGGTGGGTGGCACACTGCTCGCACACATGGGACAGAGGTATGGGCCCCAGGTTGGCACTACTCAGAATGATGATATGCAGTTTAAAATTCCACTTTTGGAATTTTCCACTGAGTATTTTCAGAATGAACCGAAACCAAGGAAAGTGAAAGCAAGGATGGGGAACCACCGGGCTAACGTCTCTAAGACCCAGACGCACCCAGCGGGTCAGGTCAGGGTGACACACCTGGTGGCAGAGCGCAGCTTGGGCACAAGCACGATGATTTAAGGGGTCCAGACTCAAGCCACTTGTTATGTTATGTAATAAAACCTCCCCAGCGAGGCCCACACTGGGGCAATCCAGAGAGGCCCCGCAGAAGCAGTTTGTAGAACCTGCCCTCTCCCCTCTCCCACCCCCACTTCCTTTGTCTCTTCATCCCCCATCCACCGCCTTTCCTCTTGTGTAAATCCAGAGGTTTTCTTAAAGTCTGAGGGCCATGGCTTAGACTGGCCTCTGTTTTTATAAGGCCTGGAAAATGATTAACCCATTCACTCTTTCCTAAAAACACTTCTTTACAAGAAAAAGAAAAGTCAGAGTGCTGCTAAAAGTCGCAGAGTTTATTTCAAAGAGCACTCATTCATTTTCTGGGTGCAGTCCTTCTGGGCAGGACAAACCCCCAAACCACGCCAGCGAACACACAACCACAGGCAGCACAGCCCACCTGGAGCAGGGAGCCCGCCGGCCGCCCGGCACCGCCAGGCCTGGGGCGGGGCCGGGGCCTGGGCCTGGGGCGGGGCCGGACCCGGGGCGGGGCCTGGGCGGCGCCGGGCCGCTGCTCCACTCGGGAAGGATCCCGCAGGCCGCGGCCACCGGGGACCAGTTGAAGCCGCCGGCTCGGGGCCAGCTGGGCCAGGGAGGAGCCGGCTCCGGAGGTCTTCCAGTGCAGCGATGCGGCGGCCAATGGGGAAGCGCGAGGCGAAGACGCACCAAATTAGGAAAGTGCTGGAGCGGCGGCCCGCCCCGGCCCGCGGGAGGACCGGCGGGAGAGCGGCGGGCAGGGCATGTTTGTAAACACGCCGGCTCCGCCCCCACAAAGAAACTCAAACTGAAAAGCGCCCTGGCAAGCCAACCCCAAGGCCTGAGATTTCTGAACTCTCAAGTGAATTTCAAAGCGCTAAGATAAACGGGTGTCAACAAAGGTCTTCTTGAAACACTAAAGGTCCAGACACAGAGCAGAACCCAAGTCCCTAGTCTCACCCAGCGCCCAGGAACCCAGTCCCACACCCCCGGATGGGAACCCTGGGGGCAGGGACAGGGGCCACTGACCCTTCCAGCTCCAACAGGAAGAGCAGGTTACACACAAACCCAGAGCTGCTACGACTTGGGACTCAGAAGCTGCAGCCAACCAGAGCTTCCCTGAGCCCATCACCACCGGCTCCAGAGAGACGACTCCACACCTGAGCCTTCACTCAACCTTCACCAGCTGGAGGCTATTTTTATTTGGGAAATAATTTTAGTAAGTCTGCTATGTACAAACCCAAACATTTCTCTTTCTGAAACAGCTTCTGTTCAGCTGGATTATAAACTGTTGACTAATAGCCCACACCAGTCCCAGGAGGAGGGGTGAGCCCACCCCTCGGGGTCCCTAAGTGGCGGCATGGCCTGGCTTCCTGTGGACAGGGAAGGCCTTTGCTGCATGCAGAAGGCAATATACACAGGCAGAATCAGCAGGTCTGAGCACCTGGAGGCAGGAGGAATGGTATTGGCTTCCACTCCACCAGCTGATTTAAGGTGATACTGGATCAAGATTTAATTCCACGTGTGGTTCCCAACAGCTCTGTTGAGATGCACGTCAACACCACACACTTTGCCCACTGAGCGTACAATACAGTGGTTTCAGGGAGTGACCACGCCACTGTCTGATTCCTAAACATGGTCCTGTCCCACCCCTGGTGGACACCCCTCCCTTCACCCTGACCAGGCATCCACTGGCCCACGTCCTGCCTCTGCCCATGGCGTGTCCTGACCCCTTTGACCAGTAAGAGTACCTCAGGTCTCTGCTTGGCCATGTAATTGCCTATTGTAGGGACAGGTCACACATCTGCAGTGTCTACACTTTGGGGTCATCTTGAATAGTGCTGCTGTGAACACAAGCTGAGTCACTGCATGGACGTGACAGTGCACTACTAAGTCACCTTTTTGGGAACTGCCAAACTCTCCACAGAGGCTGCCTGGGGTCTCAAGCTATAATTTTTTACCCGCATGGGAACTACACACACAAATGAATGTGATAGCATGGTCACGAAACGACACTTGACAGCGAGCCCTGGGCTGACTGTCGGGACTGCACACGAGCCAGGTGTCTGAAGGGACAAAGGAGGTCACATGCAGAGTTCAGGGGCTGGAACAGACCACTCCAGAAATCTGAAATGGGGTTAAGAAAACACCAATCTCTCGTGAAGCTCCAAGGACTAAGTCCTAATGCACAAGCATCGAACGTCCTTGTGTCAGGCAATTGTCACTTACCATCACCAACACCACAGAGAACTATTAGGGCTGGCTTTACAGATGGGGACATGCCTGAAGGTGCACAACCACTGACAGCATGGCTGGGACCACACTCAGATCCCAGACTTGAACTCTGTGGTGGCCGCCTCCAGGGCCACCCCAAAGAGACTACCCCGTGCTGACTTTGGAAACAGGACAACTCCCATCAACTCCAACACAAGTGACTGGCCTCTGAAAAGAATTCCAAGGTAGAAACTCAGGAAGAATCAGGCGCCCACGATGGAGTAACTGCTGGGGAATCCCGCCCCCAGCGACTGCAGACAGAGGACAACGTGGGGTTCTTGCACAGGACTCGAGAGGTGCGGCGTGCAGCCCAGAGGGACTGCCCAGTGAGGCTGGCCGGCAGGACACGGGTGCCGGGTCTGGGGGTGCCGGGTCTGGGGGTTGGCACTGGCTGTCTCTGCAGAGTGGGTTTCGGCATGTGGTTCACATCATCAACACCCCGTCACACCACTTCCAAACAATACCAGACACTGCCAGCGCCCCCGAGGGGCCACCTCTGCTGCCAATGCAGAGCAGAGGAAGCTGTGGGGCTGGCGGGAACCACGGCCACCGCACCCCAGTGCACCTTCAGGCCCACGCCTGCGCAGCTGCGAGGGGAAGCCGCTGCATTTAAGGAGGCTGGTGATGGCACACCAAGACCTTTTAAAGCTCACTAATCCTGGCCCTCAAGACCACATCTTTGTAGCACCCTGAATGAGGGGACAGGAGCACATGGAAGGGCCTGGGCTGAGTGCGAAGGCTGAAGGCTGTGCCCAGAAGCAATTGTGTGACTGAAGTGGGGCGACAATGGGAGCTCATATACACGGGTGCCCCAGAACCTGTCCCCAGGGCTTTACCTCTGTATCATATAACCTAACAACAATTAGTTAATTTCAATCACTTCACAAAAAATTTCCACGAATGCAGTTTAGAAAAACAAAATTCCTCAACTCCTGGTAAGCAAATATTACTTTAGAATGTTTTCAAAGTGATACTGGCCAAATTGCATTGTGTGTGTGTATACAGATATGTACCAACAAACCCCATCGTGATGTAGAATTAAGGCACCAAAAATAAATGTGGAAAGAAAATGTGTAAAAAAGAAAAATGTGGAAAGAAAATGTGTAAAAGAAAACAAAAACGTTTTCAATGTTGCTTTGTCTCCCTGTGCTTGCCCCCACAGAGCCTGGCAAGGCAGTGTCAGTCAAGCTGGATGACGGGCGAGCTGGCAGAGACCTCTCCTTGCAGGAGCACTGACAGATCCCACCAAGTAGTCACCCGGCCCTCTGCCCACGCCGTTTTGGCAAGGAGTTCCACTTACCTGATGGTGCCAGTTGGGGAAGGGATGGGGCTGACCAGGCTTCGGAGATCCGGCTCCGGAATGTGGATCTTCAGCGGGGAGATCTGAGGGTAGAGTGGCCGGAGGGGAGACGCTGGAGCCTCCTCTTTATGGTACAGAGAAGTGAACTGGATCTTGATGGCTGTGCTGGGGAATCGGAACGTGCACCTGCAACAGGAGGAGAGCAGTGGATCAGGCTCAGGGCCCAGGAAGGAAGCCCTGTCCCAAAGGGGCCAGTCTCGGTCATCGCTGGCCGTAGCCTGTAGTCTACTCTGTGCCTAGGGTGGCACATTCATGCTTTCCTTAGCACACTTTGGAATATAAATGTGGGCTCTTGCTGACATCAGCTCTGTGCATGAACACAAGAGAGAGAAACCCCAAACACCATGATGCCACCGTTCTTGGGGCTTCCACACAGGCCCAGCCCCTTTACATCCACCAGGCAGCTGCCAGGTGGGGTTCCTTCCCTACCACATGTGGAAAATAACTCAAAGGACGTGACATTTTGTAGAGATTTTATGGATATGATTCCCTGGGGCCACTGGGACGTATAAAACAAGTGTCTTGGGATGGAATAAGAGGTTCACCCTGTGCACACCTGGACTCTCTAGGAGTGAGACTCAGGGGCCCGGAGTTCACAGGGGCTCCAGCTGTCTCACCACCAGCTCTGGGTGGGAACCTGCGGCCCTGGTTTTCCTATAGGACATGGCCATGTGCAAACAAATCCAATCCTGGAGCCCAGGGAGGTGCTCCCAACACCCAAGACCACGCCCGCCCGTGTGCTCAGGTGAACTCGTGAGTGACAATGCAAAGTTCACAGAATCCTGCTTATCAAAGTCTGGGCACGTTTACCCAACACACCTTCTGATTTCTGAACTGAGAAGTTACTAACCAACAACTTGCTGACTGGCATGCCAGTTTAAAAAAATAATAATAATAAGGCAGACTGGCCGTGCAGGGACCGGCTATGCTGGCCCCTGGGACAACTCTCTAGAAGAGGGTCTTTGTTGAGAAGTGGATGGATAGTATCACCCATCCTGCCTCCAGCACTTCGGGCACCCCACCACGACAACCGTGAGACCACGGGCGGGGAGATACCTGTCACCCCAGTGAGGCTCCCAGTCTGCTCCTGACCCTGGATTTTACTGTGGAGCAACAGGGAATCTGCCCCAAATCCCACGCAGATGCAGACCTGGGCAGGCGCCCTTCCATCCAAGATCCTCCTGCTCTTAGCAAACAGTGTTCTAAAAACAAGACTTAAGAGAATAGCGCTCCAGGAGTCCACCCCTGCCCAGGGCCCTGCAGAGGAGGAGATGACTCGGCCCCGCGTGCTCCCCACACCTTCCCCAGGAGGCCGCCTTCCCACACCAACAGGTGATGGGAACTTCAAACACCAGGCCAGGCTGGACTGGCTCTGGCCAGGGGAACTGGAGAGGGGGCATCAGCAGCAGCTGACTTCCCAGGGGTGCTGGGCAACAGGCCACCATGCTGATGTTCCCACATATAAAGCCCAAGGAAGGGGCTGCAGCTGCTGTCTGGGGTGAGAAGCATGCCGGGAAGCACTGCCTGGGAGCCCGGTGCTAAGGACGGGAGGGCTCTGCCTGCAGGCAGTCTGCTGCCCCATCTGCTCCCAAGTCCAACCTAAGGCACTTGATGTCCTTTCCACTTTTGTTAGATTCCCCAGAGTGGTTTCCTCCATCAGCACTTGGGCAGAAGGGACCACCAGCCCTTGTTCTCAGATGCCTCTGAAGCCTACGGGCTCACCATCCAGAGGCCCAACAGTGTTGGCTCTGGGGAGCCAACATCTGCTCATAGCCAAGTCTGAGGACAAACTACGAGTCCCCAAGTGCAGAAGGAAAAGACGCTGGAGTCAGGGGTCTGGCTGGGCCCCTGCCGATGAGCTGAGCAGATGAAGATGCAGCCCTCTGCGAATGACGGTGTGAAGGAGCAAACGCTTGTCCCGTGTGCCGGTGACTTACTGATGCCAAGCGGAAAGGCATGAGGACGTGGGACGGTTCCCATAGACCCCGACTGTGTGCCTCCTTCTCGCATTCCATCCACTGTGGCAAAGCTGCCAAACCAACCATGGTCCCCATTTGTCAGCAGGTCACAGTCCCATGCTTGAAGGTCCCTGAACTAACCAGGGACCCCAGGAACATGGAGGCCAACTAGAAGGAGGATGTGGCTTCTGGCCCACGCAGAGGTCAGGGGCAGATAGGAATCTGTGAGAATGCAGCTTGGGGGTGAAGACCAGAGAGGGTCACATCCCCAGAGGGGCTCTGGGCAGGGGACCATATGATTTCCAGGCCCCTCCCTCCACTTCTCGCCTTGAGTCTTACTGGGCAGGAACCAGAGACAGATGCTAGAAGTGGGGTGCGCTGCTTGTGCAGAGCTGGCCATAGATGACTGCGACAGAACCTGTCCTGTCCTGTTTTTGTTTTGCTTTGCTTTTTAACCAACAGAACTAGAGGGTCTGGGGAGAAGAGACCACCTCTAAGCACAGTTCCAGTTCAAAAGCTAAGGTTGTACCCAGCATGCACACAGACTTAGCTCTTAGTAATGTGAGCTTTTCCAGGCCTGGGATGTTGGCAGGACACTAGTGGCCAAACCTCAGGCCGCCTGGAGCTGCTGGGTGCAGGACGACCCTTGTGGGGACCATGGCAGTGTTCCAGTGGAGCTAACAGCAGGCCTGTTCATGACATGGGCAGTCACAGCTACTTCAAATTCAGCTCCTGACTCACTCTTCCAAGACTGTCAGGGCAGGCAGTGACCTGGAGGGGCAGGAGGAGGGGCACAGGGCACACTCCCCACCAAGTGCCCTCTGCTCCCTGCGGTCGCCCCGCTCTTCCCAGAGATGTTCTCATGGGTTCAGGGCCAGAGGCGAGTGCAGATGAGCTGCTTTGCAACTGAAGTCTCTTATGGAAGGTGTCACAGTCTTGCTTAGCCACATGACTCCTGTCCTTCCCTGCTGGGGTCAGCCCACCCACTGAGGAAGTTTCCCACAAAGCAGGTGTCCCTGGGGGCCAGGGAGAGGGCTTCTTAAAACATCCTCACTGACTGTCCTCAAGGCTGGGAGCAGAGCGTGGCCAGTGTGCGGGCCCCGTGGGGGAACACCAGCGCTCAGCACTTGGCTGAAAACCTCCACCCTGGATGACTGAGGGGCGGGTGGGGAGGCAGGTGGATCCCGTCCAAGGGTTTCCACAAGAGGCCTGGCCCTGAAGCTGCTGCCAGCCTGTCTGCTCCAGCCGTGGCCCCTTGCCCATCCACTGGTGGCCAGCGGCTCCTGGACAGTGGGCAGACTAGAGCCGCCTTGGTGGGAGAAGACACTGCCGTCGCATTCTGTGTGGGAGCTGTGGTCGGTCCTCGTCACAGCTCGACCACTGGGCCTCAGTGACATCGGGCAGGTCACTTCACTCTGGTCCTGGGAGTCGTCAGGAAAGTAAGAGGCACCCACCTTGCTCTCACTGATCTAAGCAGAAACAGCTCACCTCATTTTAGACACAAAGAAGTAACAAGATGGCAGAGTGAAAGCTCCCGGGGAAGGTGTTAATAGCACCAAGTGCCCCCTCCCCAGGCTCCTCTTCCTCCCAGTGGAGAGGTGCTGGCTCTCTGTGAAGCCTGGGCTGGGACTTGACACAGGCAGCCGCAGGACACCAGGCTCTGTAGAGAAAACAGGACTGACACACTCTGCAGGACCATGAGTCCCCACAGGCCCCCAGGAGCCACGGCTGATGACAGACTCGAATAAACCTCACTGCAGAGGGCTGGCCACCTCGAGTCTGGCTTGCAAGCACCATGTTTAAGGCAGGGACACCCCCGCTGTGGCCTGGAGGGAGCACTGGGCACTCGCTGAAGGCAGGCCACGTTCCCGCACTGGGTGGCCCTTCCCCTGCGGCACCCAAGAGCAGACCCCAGAGACGGGATCTGTGCCTGAACCGTGCCCGGGGCACACGCAAGGGCAGTGTGCAGAGCTAAGGTTCCGCCTGGCCTGAGCTGTCCAGCAAGAGGACAGACTGACAGTGGGAGAAGGGGCTCCAAGTCTCGATCAGGTGGCAGCCACCAGCGACACTACTGAGCCAGACTACAACTAGGAGCAGGTGGGGGCTCCTGCCGTCCAGCCCAGGACCACAGCTGCAGGCAGCCTCGAAGCAGCCTCCACCCACATGGGAAGACAGCGGGGCCCGCGCAGAGGCGAACTGCAGTGCAGCTCCCAAGAGTAAATCCTGTGGAATGCAGTCAATGTGGGCACTTGGCTGCCTCCTTTGACAGCGAGGGTGACGGTTTTTATGCTTGTCTGAAAAGGCAAACTGTGACAGAGACTGCTGGCCTTGAAAATGTCCTCTCCTGCCTCCACAGTGAATGCTTTAGTCAGACACACATCCATCCAATAAAGACATTTCTCTGCCTCTGTAGTACCCACAAGATTATGTGCTGTCCAACAAGGTGCAAATGGGCTATGTGTGGCCTTGCAGGGAATGAAGTGTCTTCTTCATGTCTCCTCTTCCCAACAGGCAGACTGTGGGTGTGATGGCAGGAGGCGGAACAGCCACAATGGTCAGAGTGGACAGTGGCTTATAGTGGCTAGAAAGTGCCAGGTTATACACCATGTCAGCTCATACGAAGAGTGTTATATGATAAGGAAAAACACTTCACCCCTGTCACAAAACCAAGCCTGGAACCTAACTTCAAAGAGTTCAGGAACATGACACAAAGCCCCAGAACAGGCGATGTGCAGAGGCCTCAAGAGAAACACCTGCTTTTGCAGGGGAAGGTTTGCCTCAGTGCAGGGGAGTAACCTCTTCCAGCTTGGAAGAGGACCAGGGCTGTGGGATGAACGGTCACCGGGAACTTAAAAATAGACGCATCATGCTGCCTAACTGCTAGGCAGGTTGCTGTCACCATCTGGGGACAGATCTGCAGTGGGGACACCGAAGGCAAGCCAGCGGAGATCAGGAGGGAGGGAGAGGCGCACGGTGAAGGAGGGGACAGCACGGACCCTGGGCTCGGATGACTGTCGCCAAGTCCCACGACCCACTAAGTGGCCACTGAGGGCGGGGGTGGGTGCAGGGCTTGGGGGAGGAGAGCCAAGTTGGCCTCCCTTCTAACAGGATGCCGGAGGCCCCAAACGGGGAAATGCAGACAGCAGTGCGGGTGTGGTACTAGGGAAG